CCCCAAAACCCCAAAACCCCTTTAAACTCTAAATTTGTAATTAAGTTAAATTTTTTTAAATAAATTGATGATCATTAACTACTTAAAGTTAAATATTTATATAAATAATAATGGGCTAAAAATCAACGAGACACAAACTTTCACCAAAAACTATAGTAAGTTAATTACCAGTTCATTAAATAAGAGAGAGTTGTCAGTACTGTAATACTCTATTGAAAAGGCCTCAACTGTCCAGGAATTTAACAAAATAATAAATGATCCAAGCATTTAAAATTTCAGATATACCAATGTAAGTTACTCTTTCTCATAAACTTACATGCAATTAGTTGGAGCTTAACTTCTTGCAATATGCAATATATTGCATGAAAAATGACTTTGTCTTGTATATAATGTACATTTTCGACATAATAGATGAGCAGTAATATGTAAGAATTGCCTATTTATTATCCATTATTTAAATAGTAAGTGTTCAAAGCTTATTCAAAAACACTTAAAGTTGACCTTTTCAAATAAATCAGTAATGATTAAAATAATTCTAATCCATCCTTTCTAAATGTAACTATAAATATCCCAATTATTTCTCAATCTTTTAAATTTGTAGAAATAAAAAGTTATCGATCACCTAAACGACTCTGATATAGTAAATTATATTTCATTTTTATCTTAATAGTTTGGAAATACTGCGTTACATCTTGCATCAATTATAAACGACTCTTTAATGGCAGAAATATTAATAGCAACAGTTTCTGTTTCAGGACTAGATTTAAACAAGCCTAATAAAAATGGTCACTTACCATTTTAACTTGGCATTATCTATAATAATTATAATACTGCAGCACTTTTAATGCCTCAATAATATCAAAGAGAACATCCATCTCTGATAAAAGAAATTAGATAGAAAAGGAAAGGGATTAAATCTGAGTCTGAAGGAAGTTAGTGGGATTCTATTGAGAATAAAATAGTTGATGAGGAACTACAACAATTAAGGTCAAGAGATTGGGATGCACCTTTAGGATTAAAAAGTGTTTAAGCTAAGTAGAAATCCTTACAAGAGCCTTTTGAAATGAGTAAAACTATGGAGATAAACGAGATAGATCACCTTGTCGTGAACATGCTAGCCAAAGATGGCAATTATGATAGGAAAAGTGTCGTGAAAAAATATGAGGAGTTTAAAAAAGCTGTTTGGAATTAGCAACTTTTGATTCATAATCTTGAGGATAGGAAACTTGACATGACTTAAGAAAAGATCAATTCAGATTTAGCATCTCCAAGAATTAGATCACCAATAAGGTCTAATAATCAAAGTGTAACAAATAAGACAAGCAACGTAAACATATCATTAAATGACTTAAACTTCGAACAAACAGTAAATAAGATACTAGCTGACAATAAATACATGGGCGAAGCAGTACCTTCAAAATTAATGAATAATATCCAATAGGTTTGAAAATAGCAGTTTTACATTTTAATTATTATAAGCTCACTTCTTTTGAAATGAGTTAATTATTCATTAACTCTAATTATGTATAATTGATTGCTACGGGGTTTTGGGGTTTTGGGGTTTTGGGG